ATCATCATCATCATCATCATCATCATCATCATCATCATCATCATCATCATCATCATCATCATCATCATCATTGTTAATAGCAGCTAGCCTTGGAGTCCAGGACACATACAAGTTCAAGACTTGCCTCTGACACATACTGGCTATGTGACCCTAAACAAGTCACTTACCTTGTCAGTATCCCAGACAACTTAAGGCTATGAGGCACAGAATAGGAGCCAACCTGCATTGTACCACACCAGCTGTACCAACATGATACCATATAGGAACATCATCTCTTGTTAATTAATTTCCTACCCCAAAATTAAGATAGTCAAGAAAAAGCTCACTGAAGGGAAGAAATAGCATAAGCTTGCTTTGCTTTCCTTTCTCTTTTGGTCCTTTAGAGGTCTCCATAAATAAACACCTGCTGGTTCTGCTGCCCCGCCTTCTTCCAGGGAGGCATCGCCATCAGCAGGCAGGGGCCCAGCTTCCTCAGATGTCTTTTTAGCTTACAGACAAAACGGGCATACTTAGGTCATTAGGAAAGGATGATGAGATTTTTCAACCCCTAATTCTCTGCAGTAATGAAAGCACAAAAGGTTGGCTATGAAAGAATATGGTATGATAATCGATCCTGCCACTATACCTAGAACTGTCCTCAGGCAGAGTCAGAAAGGGCCAAATCCCAAATAGGGATTGAGCAGGGTAGTTGAAAGGTTCCTGGACTCTAATATTGCTCTGCCTAACTAGCTGTGGAATCTCAAGCAGGTTATTTATGGATTTCAGAGCCCCTCTGGGTCATCAGCTTCTTCATCTGTATTATAAAAATATATAATATATACATGTACATAATATTGTCAAATAATATCATATCATGTTATATATAAAAATATTTAAGCCCATCTTCCAACATTTCCAGGCAACACAGATTTCAGGTACCCACCTGGCTTCACTGTCCAGAGTATACAGTGAAACCATAGACAATTCAAGTTTAGAAGAGTTCAGATTTCTAAAGCGTTCCACCAGCCAAAGAATGGGCCTTGACGAGCTAGGAATGTTTTTATCAAAGACCCCAAGCTCAAGTGTGGAACAGGGAGCCAGGAAGATCTGGGCCCAAGGCTTCTGAGGTACCTTCCTAGTTCTAAATCTCAGATCCCACGTGCCTGTCCCCAAAGGCAGAACAATAAGTAAGAAGGAAGGGGCTCCCGAGTCCAGAAGTTTTGTACTTTAGACTATGGACTCCAGACACAATCAACTCATCTGCTTTTCTATTACTTTCTATAAATGACATCATGCCTGGATTCAGCTTTCAAGGATCAATTCAATGGGAATGCACAAGGGTGACCTCTGTCTCCATATGTGATCCTGGTGATTCCAGAGATGAAGTTCTGCTCGAGTCTGGCATAGATTGTTATATCTCAGGGAAAGCAAGGGGCATGTGGCTCTGCACTCATGCATGTGTGAGAGTGTATATGTGCTGCTGATTCCTAGTCACCTGAAAACCTTATTAGTTATTTATTTAAAATGAGACACAAAAATCTACAGATAAAACTAGCTATGGAGTCACTGAATAGAATAGCTTGCTGTGTTATCTACTGTTAAAATGTGAAGATAGTATAAACTTCACTTTCTAAGACTTTGCTAAAGGTGTGAGAAAAAGGGAATGCACTGGGCCCCCTCCCTCATCCACCACAAGGTCAGGAATAATGCAATGCAGCAGAATGACTGTTACAGAAAACCTGCCCTTCTCCTGCCACTCCCTTCCTTATTCTACACTTCGACCTCCTTTTGCTCTCTCTAATGGTTCTGCTAAAACTCATTTTCTTCCCTCCTTTTTTGGGGGGGGGTGGTGCAGGTCTGTGACTTTTTTTCTATTGGATGAATTTCTGGTGTGGAAACTGCTCCCTCCACTGCAGACAAGCAACTTATGGTCTGCAAGGGTTAAAAAGAGGTTAAGATTCCACAACTCAGAGGCAGGACTCAAACCCGACACTTTCTAACCTCTAAGGCTGGTCCTCTATGCATTATGCCCCTTTGCATCTCACTCCTTTTCAGAGTAGCTGGCTAATCTGAGACATTTTCAATTTGGTATTTGAATTTGTATTTTCAATTTGGTCCTAATACCATTTTTTGATTTGGTGCCCACCTACTACTGCAGGTCCTACTGGGGCTAGAACAGAAACAGGAATGTGCCCCACAGTGTGAAAGCTCTAGAGTGTCAAAATCAGTATAGGCCCCAGTACTGGGGAGTCTTCCATTTAACCCCTGCTGTTTTCACAGTCCCTCCTGCCTACCCCTGCTCTACCTTATTTCAAGAGTCCTCCCAGACCAGGGGCGAGGCATTTTGACTGAGTCCAAACTTCACAGAACAAATCCCCTTAATAAAAAGATTTGTTCTGTAAAACTTGGACTCAGTCAAAAGGCTGCACCCAAGGACCAAGAAGGCCACATGTGGCCTACAGGCTACAGGTTTCTACCCCTGTCCTAGACTATACTCAATATAGTATAAAAGAGCTGTAAAGAACCTTAGAAATCACCTGGTCCAGGGGTTCTTAACCTTTTTGTGTTAGAGACCCCTTTACTAGTCCAGTGAGGCATACAGACCTTTTCTCAGAATGTTGTTAAATGCATAAAATAAAATACTTAAAGATTACATAGGAAACCAATTATATTGAAATACAGTTATCAAAATATTTTTTTAAAAAAAGTTCACAGGCCCCCAGGCTAAGAACCTCTGACCTCCTACACAGATGAAGAAAACTGAGGGGCTGCTCAGAGGAGCTCTGAAGTCCATAGAGTTCAAATGACCTGTCCAAGGTCTCACAGCTAGTTAGGCATAGCAATCCTAGAATCCAGGCCCTGCCCACTACTCTATCTACCCTGCCCAATACCCATTTTAGATTTGGTCCCTCCAACCTGAGGTCAATTCTAGGGTCTAGTAGTAGGAAGATACCGAAATTGCAGAGAAGGTAGGAGAGACGGAGCTAGCAGGATTAGACTGCTGGCAACAGTGAGACCAGCAGAGTTTTCCCAGTTAAGGCCAGCCCTTCTCTCCAATCTGGTGCACACTGGGCTGTGTATCTAGGTGGGGTAGTGGGAGCCCTACTCGTTACCAAGACTCATGGCCACTGGCCTTTCAAGTTGGGTGAGGCACGCCAGACCACTCCTAGAATTCCTCCCAACACTAAATCTTTCCATGTATTAATCAGGGAGACATAGAGAGCCAGACTTCCTGCCAGTGACATCACATCATTAAATAGGACTCAAATGCCAAGAGACTACCTAATATATTTCTTTTGCATTGATGATTTAATGATCTTGTATAATTCCATGCTGTCACATTTCATTGGTGCACATTCGATACAGTGAAGCTACTTCAGATTACTTCATTAAATTGTGAGCTCCTTGAGGGCAGGGATTGTCTTTTGCCTCTTTTTGTATTCTCAGCACTTAGCACAGTGACTGGCACATAGTAGGTAATTAATAAATGGTTACTGATTGATTGGCGGCACCGGTGAAACGTGACTGAATAGTTGTGACACCAGTTATTTTAAAACAGAGAAAAGGGAGCAAGGGAAACATCACCTTACCATTCCTTTCAACAGCAACGTCACTGACTTGCTCTGGAATGGGGGACTATGTGCCCACAGGGACTACCCCAAGGGGCTTTATAAAATACTTACAGCTGACAATCTTGCAGACCGTCTTGTGGGCTAGAAAGAAAAGAGAAATATTTGAGTTGTATTATATCAAACCAAACCAAAAACAAACAAAACAAAACAAAAATTCCACTAATTCTCACTTTCAGAGGTCTTTTTTTTTGTGATGAGTCATAATAATAAAAACCTCCCTTTGTGTAGTGCTCTATAATGTTTCTATAACATCAACTCTGTGAGAGAGATAGGGCAAATACTATGATCCCCATTTTGTTGATGAGAAAACTGAAGCTCAAAGCAGGTAAGAGAGTTGGCCAAGGTCACACAGCTAGTAAACAAGGTCCCCTGACTCCAGGACCTATCTAACACATAATGTCAAAAAATAATTCAATAAACATTTATTGAGTACCTACTATGTGCTAGGCATTGTATTAAGCACTAGAGACAAAAATAAGGAAAGGAAAGGCTCACGGAACTTTTAGTCCAATGGGGGAAGAAGACAAGACACAAAGGTTAGCTAGAGGGAGAAGGAGCAGAGTAGGGGGAGAGGTCTGGGGGGACCTCGGGCATTCTTTTCCACCGAGTCCAAACCAAGCAGAGCTACTGATGTAGAGTCTCTTTTTAGAATTTTAAAAGCTTCAAGTTCTTCATACATCAGAAATAATTAAAAAGCAAGTATGAAAAATGGCATACTATATATTACTGTAAGAAACAGGTTTGGTTCTCTCAAATTAGGGTAATTATGGTTAGGGAAAGAAAAAGAAAAAAAGAGAAATTTAAGGTTTTGCTATAAACTACGGTTGATACTGCTAGGAGAACAGTGTAAGATAGCTGAGGTACTTTCACAAAAACTAGCTCTCAGTTTCCTCCCCTCTTTGCAGAGGTGGGGGATAATGGGTGTGGAATATTGCATAAACTGCCACATAGGACTGATGTATTGATTTGTTTGGCTAAATGACTTTTTTCTCCTTTTCTTTTAAATATCTTTGTTACAAGGGACAAGCTCACTGAATAGGAGGAGATATATTTAGAAATAAAGATGATATAAAAACAAAAATATCAATACAAATAAGATTAAAAACCAGCTCTCCACTGTCATTCTATTTCTTCAAAAGGAAATAACTTCAGTTAATACATGAACAAACTTGTTTCGGTTAGAAACAAATGCAAATATTTGTAGAGGACCAGATGAGACTGCAATTCCCCTTTTTTGTTACTATGCTATTAGAGAGGAGAATTGATGAGAATGCCAAGCAACTTTCTTTTTAAAAAGTTGTAGTTTGTCTTTAAGAAGTTAACCAGTTGCAGGCTGAACTGACATATTATTTAGCAATTCAAACATCTTCAATGGCTCTCTATTGGCCATAGGATAAAATACAAGCTCCTTAGCCTCTCATTTAAAGCCTTCCACAATCTGGCTGCCACTCAAATTTCCAGAAATTTCATATTACTTTCTTTCATGCAGAGCCATATATAGGGTGAGAATTCTTGCCTGAGGCAAACTCTGTTGGGTGGGTGAGGGTGGTAGAAGTACAGACAATATTATGTTGGAGATGATACAGTTCAACCTTGAAAGAGCCCCTGCTATGGAGAATGGGGGAGAAGGTGAGCCCCCACAGAAGGGGAACCATGGCAATACAACTCTAAAGAGAATGGCTGGCAAAGGAAGGTGAGGTGAGGTCCAGGGATGGGGGTTGATACAAAGATGAAGTGTACCCTACTCCATGCCTTTGCATCAGCTGGCCCCCATTTCTGGAATGCATTCCTTTCTCACTTTAGCCTCTTATAATAGCTAAAATATTTAGCTTCCTTTTAAGGTTCAGCTCTTTCATGAAGTTTCCTCTTCTCAAACTACCCAGAAGACCCATCACCCCATTCTCAGAGTACAAGACCTCATCTTGTACTTCATTGAGGAAACACAGGCCATTTGATGTGAGTTCTTTCTTCTCCACATCTCAGAATCCCTTGACATTATCCCTCATTTTTGCTCTCTCAAATCCTCAATTTCTTCCTATCTACAGACCCCTTTCCCACAGCTACAAACACATCCAAGTCTCCCCCATTCTCAAAAACCCCTCACTACATCCTACTATTCTTTTGTTTTTGTCCTTTATTTACCAATCCCTTCATAACCAAACATCTAGAAAAAATTATCTATACTGGTAGCCAGTTGCCTCTACCTCCTCTCCTTTCATCCAATTCTCCACCTTTTGCAATAGAGCTTCTCACTTTGCCATAACAGAAACTACCCTTTCCAAAGTCACTAATGATTTCCTAGTGGCCAAGTCTGATGGATTTTTCTCAATCTTCAGCCTCCCTAATGCTTTTGTAGCATCTGACATTCCTGACTACCTCTCCTCCCAGTTATTCTGTCGTCCCAGGGTTTTTGTCGTGGTTCTCTCGGTTGTCTCTCCAGGTGACCTCATTGGCTCTCTATTCCGATTTATTCTAGACACAGCTGCCAGTGATTTTCCTAATGCCCACACCTAACCACATTCATTCTCTACTCAAATTCCAATGGCTCTTTATTTACCTCTAATATCAATTATAAACTCCTGTTTGACATCTAAAGCCCTTCACAATCTGGCCCCAAACTTCCTTTCAGGCTTTATTACGCATCATTCCCCTCAAAAAACATTCTTTGTTCTAACAAAACTGGTCTTCTTACTGTTCCTTATACTTGAAAAACTATTATGCCCCTGCAGCGTTGCACTGGCTCTGTCCCTCCGGCCAGCAATGTATCACCTCTTTATCCCTGTCTCTTAGAATCCCTAGTTTCCTTCAATGGTCAGCTCAAGTACCACCTTCTACATAAATATACCTTTGCTGATCACCTCAAATTGCTAAGTATCTATTTTGTATACACCTACAGATAAACATGAAGATATCAAGGTTTCACTCCTTTTATAACCCTAGTACCTAGCATGGTGCCTGGCACATAGTAGGCACTTCATTAATACCTACTGAGATTGATTGATTTCTTCCAACTGTCAGAACTCTCTCCATCTTGAAATTACTTGGTACTGTATTTACTTTCTGTGTACAGATTGTATTCTTCCTGTAAATTATAAGGTTCTTAGGACTGTTTCATTTTTTGCCACAGTAAAGTAGACAGAGAGTAGGCCTCATAATCAGGAAAACTTGGGTCAAAGTTCCATCCGTGACACTGGATGTGTGAAACTGAGCAAAGAACTTAAGGTTTCAATGCCTTAAGCAGCCCTCTACGACTATAAGTTACGGTATAGTGGCTTATCTCCTTTGGTAGAGGGACTGTGCTCATCAGGACCACCCAATATCCATGAAATCACAAGTCTTGCCTAAAATTCATACTCTACTGTTTTTGATTTGGTGCTCATTTAGACAGGGAGGTTTATCTTCACATAGCAAGTCCTTTCTTTATGGATAGTACAAATTAATACAATAAACAGACTGGCAGGGAGAATATTTAAGCCACTTAAGAAAATAGTTCTCATATACTGCTAAGCGTCTTCAAAAGCACATGTAAACAACAGATATGCTATTTACCAGTCAGTCATGTAATTCTACAAACAGAATTCAAAACACCCCTTGTAAAATAAAAGAAGATAAATCATTGGAGAGTTAATCATTATTCATGGTTGGGCCATAAGGATATAATAAAAATGGTGATACTATGTAAATTAACCTACGGATTTAGTGCTATATCAATCAAACTGTCAAGAGGGTACTGTATAGAATTAGATAAAATAATGCTAAAATTCATTTGGAGGAACTAAAGGTCAAGAATCCTGAGAAAAATAATGAGGCCTAGCATTATACAATTTCAAACTATATTATAAAGCAGCAATTATCAAAATGATTTGATACTGGTTTTAAACAAAATTTTAAAATAGATTAAGATTACATAAAAGAATCAGAAACTACAGAACATAATAGTCCAACATCTGACAAAATGAAGAACAGCAATCACAAGGGGAAAGGAAACAAGCATTTATTAATGCTTATTTATTAAGGTAATTTATTAAGTTCCTATTATAGGTCAGCCCTTTACAAATGTTATGTCATTTGATCTTCATCAATATTCTGGGAGGTAATGGGCTATTACTGTCCCCATTTTACAATTGAGGAAACTGACACAGACAGAAGTAAAGTATCTTGCTCAGGGTCACACAGCTACTAAGTATCCATGGACAAATCTTAACTCAGGTATCCCTGACTCCAGGTCCAGCGCTCCAACCACTACATAGCTGCCTAAGGAAGAGCTCCCTAATAGTCAAAACTGCTGGGGTAATATAAAGCCAATGGAAAAGATAAAGCTTAGACGAGCACTTTAGATGACAGAGCAGGGACTGTCTTTTACCTTTCATTGTATCCCCAGCCCTTAGTACAGATCCTGGTACATAGTAGGTGCTTAATACAACTAAGAAAAAAGAAAGACATTGGCCATGTCTTAACAACACATGCAACATTCCATACCCATAGTCAGCCAACAACCAGTAAATAAATATTTATTAAGTGCTTACTATGTGCCAGGCACTGGGCTAAATGCTGGGGACACAAAGAAAGGAAAATAAGACAATTCTTGGCCACCATTAAAATACTGCAAAGGAGGGTGCCATCCAAAGACAAAAGTCTTACTATAGAGGAAGAATCCAGTTTTAGGTAGGAAAGAAGACATAGCAACTAGGAGAGGGGCTGTATATATCCATTCTAAAAAAACATAACAGGAGTAAAATTAAACACACATTCTAATGGGGGAGATAACATGAATATCTAGGTATTTACAAACTATATGAAGAGGATATGAAAATAACCTGAAAGGGGAAGGCGTTGGCAACTGGGGAGGGGCTGGGAAGACTGGGAAAGCTTCCTGCATAAAGTGTAATGTAAGCAGCATTCTGAAGGAAGCAGGGAACCTGAGAGGTGGAGGTGAGGGGGCAGGGCATTCCAGCCATGGGGAACAGCTAGAGCAAAGGCACAGAGATGGAAGATTGAGTATAGTGCTCAAGAAACTGCAAGTAGGTTAATATAGATGATTTGCAGAGTGTGTGGAGGGGAGTAAGATGTAAGAAGATGGG